CTCAAAGGACTGGAACGGATGAACTGTCCAAAGCTCAGCTGTGCTTTTCAGCTTGTCCATACAAACTGGAAAAGCCCTCTCCTGTTAGAAACCATGCCTGGTGGTGCTGGTGACTGCAGTATTTTAAATGCATCACAAACTGGACGCAAATTCTTGCAGAACGGTTATGTGAAGTCGTGTCCTGAGTACTGGCAATGGATCAGCTAAAATAGAACATGCACACGAACATGGCTGCCAATGATGTCAACTGCTTGGAAAAATTATCATGACAAAAAAATCACGACAAATGTTCCTGTCCTTCCTCCGAATGAAGGTATTCCCCCAAAACCATCGACGTCATCCAGCAATATAAGTAAAATGCAAAACCAACTAGGATGTGATAACCTAAGAGTGTACATGAAACACTCGTTCCCTTGCGCCAATGAAACATCAATAAACTTTAATTGTACTGAGTGCCAGGCACTCCAACAGTCGTCAGGGTACAACTACATCAACGACACAGCTCCTAATCAGGGCGGTTAGATTCACAGACAGCAGAAGGTAACTGACAGCTGTGAAAATTAATAAACAGAAACCTCATTTAAAATGGAGTGAGGAGGCCAGAGGAGAGAACTCTCAGCCACTGCCACTCAAGGCACATTACAGACCGCAAGAGGAAGAGAGAGACATTGCACCTCTAACAGGAAGCCTACGACTTCCTACCCCTGCAGAAGGAAGGAAGAAATCTCTCCTTGCCCCGCAGCAGCTCAGCCAATGAGAGATGGCCTAACCCGGCCAATGAAAAGCCATTATGCTGCCAACTCCCGTCCACGCCAGTGGATTCTTTGTTTATAAAGGCCCCTCTCAACTTTATAAAAAAACATTTCTCTCTTTTGTTTCTCCAGACTTGCCTGTGGTTTGCCACAGACCTCATATCCCGAATTGTAATTCTTTCCTGTTCCCAAATAAACTCATTTTGCTGGTAAAATAACTGCTGTTTGTTTTAGGTCAACACAGCTTAAGGCAATGTGCAGTTAAGTCGAGAGTTGAATGATTCAAATAGGTGTTCCAGGACGAGGGCAGTGGCTCTCAAAGTGAGGTCCCCAGACCCCTGGAGGTCCCCAAGTCCCTTTCAGGGGTTCTGTGAGGTTACAATTCTTTTCGTGATAATTTTAAGATGTTATTTACCTTTTTCACTGTTGATGTTTTCACTGATCGTGGGTAAAACTGTGATTGCATCTACACAACGCAGGGCAGCGACATCGAGCTGTGGGAGCAGTGGCTGAGTTCATCACCACACATGGGCAGTAAAAAAAAAAAAAGTCAGTTTCACTTGAGAATGTCTTTGATAAAGCAGCGAACATTATTAACTAAATCCTGACCCACTAGGGCATGTCTTTTTATTATTTTGTGGGACGAACTGGAGGAGAATAGAAAGTGCTTCTGCGGAAGGACAACGGTTGTCTTGAGGAAAAGCACGGGCGCAGCTGAGCTTCAAGTTGAACTCGCCACTTTGTCAGACAGGAGCATTTTTATTTGAAGGAACAACTGACAGACAAACTATGGTTATTCAGACTTGAGTATTTGGCAGATATTTTTTCAGAAATAAACAAAGCGAGCCTGCCATGTCAAGGAAAACAACCAACAGTATTTCTCCTCAATGATAAAGTTTGAACTTTTGAGCAAAAATCAGAATTTTGGAAAACTTGTATCCTAATATGTAAAATTTTGTCTGATGAAATCAATGATAAAATTAAAGAACTTGATATTTTTGATAATGCATGATGAAATGAGGCGACGTCGGAAGATCTGAATGATTCGGTGAACCAAGAGTTTCCTCGTGACCAGTGCCTGCCGTTACAAATCACGCCTGGGACCGAGGCCCAGGCAATAGACCGACGGGTTTTAACACAAGAGAGTATGAGAAGTGTACTCAAACGGATTTAAATCCACATTGCGACTCTGTAAAAATTACCACTCGAAGAATTTTGGAGTACTATCAAAGAACATCCACAATTATCTGAAAAAAACTATTAAAATACTCCTCCATTTTCCAACTATGTATCTCTTTGAGCCCAGATTTTCTTCATGTGCTTCAAACTACATACCACATCCCAATGATGAGACGCAGAAGCAAACTTGGAAATTCAGTTGCTTACAACCAGCTAGATATTAAATCCAGCTAGATATTAAAGAGATTTATAAAATGTAAAACATTTTCCTCAATTTTTTCTTTTTGTTTTGGAAAACATCATCACTTTTCATTAAAAACATGTCATTTATGCTAATATGTAATGGGCTTATCTTTATGATAAATTAAGTAACAAATGAATATTTTAAACATCTTTCCAATTTTAATTTCTCAGATGATGAGTAGCAATAGGTGCAATCCACATAAATCTATGTAACAAAAGTTTTTGGGGTCCTGAGACCAAAATATTTGAGAATTGCCGGACTAGAGAAAAGGGAAGCAATGAGGAGGAGACAGGAAACCTTCTGTGGGACGACGTATAGCATAATATCCAAACGTACCCCTTCCCAGCAATCCTTTAAGGCCCCAGATCAATGGTGTTGATTATTTAAATATAACCAGTTGACACCAGTGCTCTTCACATGACAATGTATGTACGTGAAATGCAATATAAAATCCCCAAATGCAGCAAAACTCCTTTATAATCAGAGATCTACTACTAAGTGCCAGAACTGAAAACTAACACATAGAACAACTGTATTATATGAGATTTTACCACGTATCACTGGTTCCTTTTCATGTCCAAAGCCTCCTTTTTAATATTTATTATCACTTACAACCCTCCATGGACCTTATGTAATTAAAGATATTGTCTAGCAAACAAACTATATTTATTAAGTAGCAAACAGTTAATTCATTTTACTGTTTTAGATTGACCACACAGGTTTGTAGCCATGTAATGGTAGGCAGAGCAAAAACAATGGAATTTTAGTTACTCTATGTGCAGTAATCATGCAATTCCTGTTTAGATTTTTGAAATTTTAAAATAGCTCGTGGGCTCCTCCCTACCCCTTTATTACCTCCCTAAATCATCTGGGATACAGAAGCTCCAGATGCAGAGGCTCTGTGGATGTAGGGTGCTGGTTTGTTTTGTTTTAATTTAGTTTTTGGTCAATCAAATTGTGATAGAAATGAGTTTGACATTTTTACTCAGTCACCAGACACCTGAGAGTTCAGGGTCAGTGTCCATTACAGTGACACACTGCAGTCTCAGGGGCTGCAAGACAGTGTAAAAAGCCTGGGCTCTCGAATCAGAAAGTGGCTTTCCAGATGATAGCTGTGTAAACTGAGGCAAGTATCTTCACCTCTTTGATCCTCAGTTTCCTTACATGTGAAATGGAACTAACGACACTTGCCTTGTGTAGCTGTTGTGTGGCACACAAAATGACAGCCATATTTCATCTTATTGCCAGTTTGTAGCAACACTTTTTTTAATAGGAAACCTTTTGTGGTTGATCCTTGGTGTAATTTTTTGCCACCTTTAAAACATGAAATAAAACACATTTTCATGCTCAGTGTGCAGTTGCTTAACACACACATTTAAGGTAAACAGCATTGGCCCTTGACCAACTGAAAATTGTTCAGGTTTCTCTTTAGGCACAAGTGCTATCTGTGTTCTCAGATCCCACAGGGAGCCAGTCCCCTGGTTCTGCAGCTGTAGGACGGACCTCACAGAAGCAGCTGGGTCTCTGGTTTCTCTTAGGACTTTCAATCCAATTTAGAAATCCCCCACCTGATTTACTCGCTTTCTTTTCCCCACCTGGACCACAAATCTGTCTTTTCCTTCTCCTCTTAATTCCTCCTCATCCCTCTCAAATACCAATTTAATATTTTCCTACAAATTTTATAGTGCCTTAATTAGTATTCATCATCACTTGGGGAAGATCGTATATTCTTACATCATTATATGGACTTTTCATGTTAATGAAACTTCTAACAATTAAGTGTGCGCTTGAAATTCTTCCCTTTAGCAGTTATGACTGCATTTCTAGAATCTGTTATGGTATTGAAAAAAATACATTAAAGGTAGATATCATCAATATGTTTTGTTCTTAATTGTAATAAAATTAAAACCACCTAGCATCGTGTTATGATAAGTTCTATAATTAAAAAACTGTAATTCTTCCCTACCTTCCAAAGGTATTTCAGAGATTAATTAGGGTTTTTAATTGTGCATGAGATTTATCAAGTAAGGGCACAACCTTGCTACTATTATCTATTTTTCATTTGGATAACTTCGAAGTTTTCACTTGTTAAAAGCTATTTAGACGTGACAGTAATAGCCAGTCTCTAATTTTTTACATTTTCGGATTTTTCTTTTCTTCAAAAAAACAATTACTGCTCCACAAATGTATTTTTAACTTAGATTTTTAAAATTCTCATTTTTAAGGAAATAAGCTTTGGAGAAGATATATAATGCCTCCTTGACAATTCTGAAACCTGAAGCGCGGGGGCTACCGACTGAGGTGGGATTTCAGGAAAATCCGGCCCTTGGTGAATCTCCGGGGATTCTCTCTGGATGGGTCTGGACCAATCCGCGCTGCCCCAGCTCCGCGCTCGGACCGGGCTGCGCTGCAGACGTCTCGCCGCGCTTGCGGACACACCCCTGCAGACCTGGCCCCGTCCTCCCAGTTTCCCTTCCCAAATGCCTCAGAATCGTGATCACAGCAATCAAACGACTCGGTGGGTCATGGTAGTTCCCAACCTCTTCTAAAAAGAGACGCCCTTTTAAAATTCAAAATAATTTAGCAGACCCCACCACCACCACCACATCCAGACTGTGATAGCTGTACTTTCAAATTCTCTGTTGATTGAGAAAACTTACAAAACGATCAAAAGCTTCAATAGATTCTGTAATACTTTCAAATGCCTGTATACTTTATTAATCATGCTATTTGCATACATCTGAATTTATTTATTTATGGTGTATGCTCACTAAGTGTACAGGCACTGCTTGGTGCACAAATGGCTTCGCCCACCCCTTGCACAGGGAAGCCCCCAGGGTCCCCAGGAGGCGCCCAGGGTCCAAGGTCCGGGGCCGGGAGCTGCTACCGAGGACGTAGAGGCGCTAGGTCCTGCCTTCTACCCTAAACGTTCCTTTAAGCCGGATTCCCAAGGGCTTCAGGCGGCCTTTCCTGCAAGTCGCCGGGGCATCGCAGGGCATCTGCTGCCCCCTATCGGTGGTGAGGCGAACAATAACCCGAACCCAGTTAGAATCGACTAGAAGAGGCCTCTTGAATAAAAGAATATTCCATGACTACGCAGTAGCCAGAGGACTCTCAGAGCCTGTTTTCCGCAGACATCCAGCTCCGGCTGCCGCGTTGTAACGCAGGTGTCCGCCAGTCAAGGAGAAGATGATGGATTGTGAGGAGCAATCTGACGCTGCTTCGGCGAAGGCAGGGAGCGGCGTGGGTTGCGGGGTCCCGGATACACCCAGGGTTCACCTTGTGCTTTCCACCTCCCATTCACCAGTCCACCTCGTCCTTAGGAAAAGCGTTTGCCCTCACTCGGGACGGGGATGTTCCTTAGGGCACAGCGTGGTGTTTTCCCAAGCCCCTGAAACACCTGTCCCCTCATATTACACCTTGAGCAGAGTCCAGTGACCTCTGCTGCAGAGGTGACAAAGGCCACTCTCCTTGAGTAGCCGCCTCAACTGTGTCCAGGAATGGCCTTCCAACAGCGTGTTACTTCTCTGATCCCTTTGGTGGGAATATGAATATGCTTCAGAAAAGTCAAATAAATACTGAGAAGAAAACTCTCGGACACCCCTGGCTACCACTGATGCCCGTACAGTGAAATTTCCTGCCAGGACCACACAGGTAAAATTCGCCTGCCCCGGGACACAGCCGAGGCTGCTAGCCGACTGAGAACGTGTGACAGTTACGTACTGAGATATTTCTAATTTTATTTTCATTATTTTCTCCCACCCCACTACCACTCCCCTTCTACACACACACACACACACTTTGCAGTGTCCTAACTTGTTCACTCTTGTCCATATTTGCCTTGGCGCTTTTGGGAAGAAGGCAAGAGAAAGATGAACGAAGGTGAGCGGGGGAAGGGAGGGAGGGGAAGAGGGAGAATCGCCTTCTACACAAGACTTTAAGCCGGAAGACGCCCCGGCGGAGGGTCTTCAGGACGACAACGGAAAAGTCCCACTACACGCTCAGAGCGCTGGTGCTGGCGCCCCCAACTGCCGGTGGCAGCAGGAGATCCGGGATCCAGTTGGTCCCCTCCGAGGGTTCCGCCCGCCCGCGCTGGCGGTGGGGCCCTCCAGGGTCGCTGCGAGTCTGGGAGAGGAAGGAGGCTCCGCTGGCTCCGTTCTCCCTCCCAGCTCGCCGTGGCCATGGCCCCGCCAAGTCTCCGCTCCCGAGCGGCCGCAGGTGCCGAGTGGCCGATCCCCGGAGCGAGTGAAACGCGGGGCTCGCCGCCCCATCCCGTCCCCGGCTCCAGGAGGGTCTCCGGCGGGTGGCCGCGTCCCCTCGGTCCGGCGCCCCCTCCCCGCGGCCTGTGGGCGCGGCGCGCAGGGGCGCGGGCGGGCGGCGGCTCCCGGGCGCAGGCGGAAGGCGCGGCACCGCCTCGGTCACGGCCGCCGCCGGGCTCAGGCGGAAGCCCGGGCTCCGGAGGGGCGGGGCCGCCGCGCCCGGCGAGGCCCAGGGCTCCGGGCCCCGGCGCGCCCGTCGGTGCAGCAGCGGAGCCCCGGCGGCCGCCGCGCCCGCCAGGCACCGATGGCCCCTGGTCAGCTTCAGCGCCCTCCCCGCGCGTGGTGGGGCGAGGCCGTGCCCACGCGTGTCCGTCCGGCTGCGCGTCTGTCACTTGCACACTCGGAGCCCCTCCGGCCGCGCAGGCCCCGGCTCTGGGGTTGGCGGCTCCCGCGTCTGCCACCTCCAGGACCCGGAGCCGCCAACCCCAGCCTCCCGGCGAGCCGGGACTTCCCGGATGGGGCCATGCTTTCCTTCCAGGACAACCAGGGCTCCTCCCCTCCCGGCGATCTTTCTAGGAGGCCACCTCCAGAGATTCCGAGGCGATTTCCTCCCTGCCGGTACCAAACCGGTAACTCCTCTCACTGAAGACACCAGGGGGACTGACAAGCTGAGTGAGTGGCGAGGGACCACCACCACCGAAAAACCCAGCGTTCCATGTGCGCGGACTGTTTTGATCGGTGGGTTAATGGGGGATAGAGGTCCGCTCTCGATTTTTGATAGCCCTGATTTTCAAGCTTTTTAAAAAGTTACGTTGTCCTGCTTTCTGCTCGGTCAACAACACAGAAAATGGAATATTGCTTTTTTTGTGATTCAGAATCAATTGTCATGACAGTGACTTGGAGATTTTCCCGGCATCTTGTGAGATAAAATGGAGATGCACACGTAGGTGAGAGTCGTTGTGTTACACGGTGGCCGCTGCATCGGCCGGCAGCGTCCCTGAGCCTCGTTCCCTGCCCCTCTCGGCTCACCCACCTAGTGGGACTTCTGTCATTTAATTATTGTTTAATTATCCTGAGGGTCTAAGAGTAAGCATAGGGCAAAGATTGAGCACAGCACTTAAACAGTTCCTTCAAACTGTCTTCACCTTTCTTAGGGAAGTAATTCCTGGGCTGATAAAGAATTTCAGATCTGAGGGCAAAAAATAAGTTGCTAAAAAAAAACCCCACTTCAGTTATACTTCTGTTATTTATTTAATAGATATTTATGGAGCACCTACCCCACACCAAACACACACACACACACACCCCCATACATACATACATACATACTATGGGCTATACAAATGATAATATAGGACATCTGTTGAATGCTTAGTATGAGACAGGCAATATACTTGTTTTAAAAGCATTATATCATTTTACCCTTCCAGGGACAATAAGAAGTAGATGCTATTATCCTTATCCCTCCTTTATAGATGAGAAAAATGAGATATTGCAGACTGGAAATAACTTGCTCAAGGTCACCCGGTTAGTAAGTGGCACAGCAGGGGCTTCAAGCCAGCCAGTCTGATGCAGAGTCCACAGACTCAACCGCTAAACCAGGTCCTCCAGTCAGATCTGAGAATCTGCACGTTTTGGAACCACCTCAGGTGAACCTGAGGCAAAGGAGACCTTGAGAAGCATGAATATGGTCACACTCCCTCATCTTCCTGATCAGAAGGCAGACCCGAAGAAGTGATTTGTCCAAAAACACACAGTTAATTAATTGCAGAATGAGATCTAGACGGCCGGCCACCTCCTCATCCCTTGTGGAAAGACTGTCTACCATCCTAACCACATCGGCTCAGTCCAGGAGGAGTCAAAGAATGTAAATAACTCAGCAATTACAGTAAATGTACAGTCAGATCTTGAATATCCTTAGCTTCCTCTTCTAATTGCTTGCCTTCTGGATATTTGACTGTGGTAGTTTCTCTCCCAGAGAGAGAGAGAAACCAAGTGAAACTCAATTATTTTATTTCTGCTAATGTTAACTGGTAAGAACTCTAATTTTCAAGAGAAAAAGGGGCAGGGGGGTGGGGAGCCAGGAGGTTTGATGGCAGAAAAGGCTAGAACAAGTTCCTAAATGAAGACCTGCAGGTGATCCCTAGATTTTGGCTTCCGTGCTACCCATAACGGCCATTGCCGTAGTGAGGGCTTAAAGTGGGGAAGAAGTGAAATGGACGCCACGTGGAACACAACTGTTCCTCCACTCTTCCTCTTCCTGTGCACCCAGGCCTGCCCCGGTTTTGATATTTGAGAAGTAAGGAAAAGGAGAAGGAAATAAATGAAGAGAGTATGATGAATTATCCTGGAACAACTTCTACTTTTGTTTGGGAGAGTGAAAGAGTTATAGTACTGAAAAGAAATACCTAGGCCACGGTTCCTCCATCCTCAGCCTCAAGCACTGAGCATAGATAGTCATAAATTGTCATTAAACAAATAGATTTGGCCTGCTTGTAACATCTTGACTTCCACTTCTTTTATTTATTTATTTATTTATTTTTGCTGGGGAAGATTAGCCCTGAGCTAACATCTGTGCCAGTCTTCCTCCACTTTATATGTGGGTCGCTGCCACAGCATGGCTGATGAGTGGCGTAGGTCTGCACCCAGGATCCAAACCCAGAAGCCCCAACCCCAAAGTGGAGCATGCTGAACTTCACCACTACACCACAGGCTGGCTGCTGTTTTTGTATTTTTTTTAATATTTTTCTTTTTAACCTACTCTCAGATCATAGGGATGTTGAGAGGCTGTGCAAGAACCCTGGGGACTGCTGCCTTTTCTCAACAACTCTGACCAAATCATTTCCTTATGTAACATCATTTAATGATTCCTCATCATCTCTAGGGAATAAAATTTGACTCATTAACAAGGAAAACAAAATATTACATGCTAAAGCCCCTGATTACTTCCCGCCCACAACTCTGCCACTCACTGAAACTTTGATCAAGAGGAAACTAGCTGTAGTCCTTGAACATACACGCCGTCTCCCGCCTTCGTGTTCTTGCATTATCCCCATCCTCTCCCTGGAATTCTGTCCTCCCTTGTCCTCTTGGTAAATAACTATTCATTGCCCCAAACTCTGCTCAGACAGCGCCACACCTGTGAATTCTTTCTTGACCCTCTGCTCCATCCCCCAAAAGCAATCATCTCTTGTGCATGTGGAGGCCGCTTCTCTTCCTTATGTTCTCTCTGATGGCTCTGAGTCTGTGGAATGATTTTTTTCCATATCCCTTGCCTTCTGTTCGACTGGAGCTCCTTGGGGATCTGTCTGTATAAACTTTGTTTAGTGTATCTGAAAAGTTAGGGAACAGAGGGTTAACTTACCTTTAAGTAGAATATTATTTACATTTTGAAATAATATGCTCAGTATGTTTAAAGCAACAGGTCCATTAGTTATATAGTACAGAATGTCCAAAAAATCTGGAAACAGAGGAAAACATAGTGTATTTATTACGCTTTTTTCAGATTACCTCATTACTTTAAATTTAGAGGTACTTAACCTAAAAGGTTTCTGGAGTTTGAATAACATACGGAGCATATTGCTTGACAATGTAACTAAAATACTGTTTAAATATTATTATATCCTGTTTGCTGAATTCCCCACCCCTTCCAGTCCCAGCACCTAACACTGTGTCTGGTGCCTGACGCATCGTAAGTGTCCGCTGAATTGTTCTAAGCTGAACAAAGCAACAGGCTTTGTCCACTGGTCCACGGGCTTCTGGTTCTCGCTCCCCCCCGGTCCAGCTCTGTCTCTCCTTTTGGTGAGCTCTTACTAGCTTCAGTCCCTTTGTCAGTCACAGTCCTGTATGTGCTCTCGTTCAGTTTGAATTAATGCTTTTGCCTAGAGTGTAATTGCTTACATGTTTTAGACATTTATTAGGGAAGGGAGACCCCAGACTTTTCCTCGTTGATGACAGGACAAGTTATTGAGGGGTAGAGACAGTTAATGGAGCAATAGAGCAGATAAGGCCCTAAACCAACAAGTGGGTCATTCATTCATTTATTCAACAAATTTTTTTTTCCAGCACTCATTACCTGTCAGCCTCTGGCCAGGCAACAGCCTCCCAAACCTGCAGAGGCACCGTTTTCTACCCAGCATCTCCGGTTGTACTTGTGGCAGAATTTCCTACTGCTGGAAGCTTATGAGTGGGCAAATACTTTCTGTACCTTCTGAGACCACGAGGGCATGCCAAAACCAGCCACTTGAAGTAAGGGCTTTGCATGGATACATTTCCCTTGTCCATAACTGTTTAGTGAATAAGGAACTTTGTGTATATTTGTGCAAAATTTAAGAAATAATTGATAGCTATTTAATCACACCTCTGGAGCACAAATATATATATACCTAAAGTCCACATCCCTGACAAATGGTCTCACAGTAACAAACTGATCTCATATGATGAGACAGCTGCTTCTCTAGAAGGGTTCACTTAACATTTAATATAACAATACTCTAACTATCATACATGTTTGTTTATTTAGATATGTTAGCAACGTGCATATACTCACTTCAGGTAATTAATGAGGAAGAAAGCCTGTGATATAGTAGGTACAGTTGAATATACTTTTTAACATCATTAAAGTACATGTTGTACATCACTAGGGAGGAGATTCTAGAACTTTACATTCTTTAGTCCTGAGGAAAATAATGTGGAATATAGTAAGATATGAAGAATTAGTGGAGTCTGTATTTCTGAAGAGTGGCTATATTCTCTCACAAAAATCATTTTGGGAACTCTTGGCCCAAGAAGCATTTCTTAGATTACAGGTTTGAGAAATAGGGGGCAAGTGTCATCACCCCCAGTAAGGGGTATTTTTAGAAGTGCAGTTTTTATGTTTTTTTCCCTCAGAGACATTCAGGTCATGTCTCAATTGGCAAAGCAACCAAAAATATCCAGTCAGTTATCTGAGTAATTTAGGCCCCCAGATAAACTATCTTTGTTTGAATTACCTCAGCAGCATCACCCTTACAATCATATTAGCTTAAAGTAGCAACGGCAACATGATAGATTGGAAATATCTGGCGTCAGATGATGAAGATTAAAATCCCGACTCCTCATTTCTCAGCTCTGTGACCTTGGCCTTGCTGAGCTTCCTTCCTGTTTGGTTAACTCCTTGGTGAAACAGGTGTATCCCAATTGCCCTGTCTACCATTAGGGAGGTGTTGTGAACATCAAATAAGGTCCTGTGTGTGAAAACTGCACCTTGACCTGCAGAGCAGTTCAAATATATGTTTCTGATGTAGGTCATACAATTTTAGGTCAAAAGAAATATTCCTTGAATTTAAAAAATATCCCATTCCTGGGTATTTATCCAAAGAACTTGAAGTCAACAATTCAGAGAGACTTATGCACCCCTATGTTCATTGCAGCATTATTCACAATAACCAAGATGTGGAAGCAACCCAAGTGCCCATCGACTGATGCATGGGTAAAGAAGATGTGGTGTATATATACAATGGAATACTATGCAGCCATAAAAAGAGACAAAATCGTCCCATTTGCAACAACATGGATGGACCTTGAGGGTATTATGTTAAGGTAAAGAAACCAGACAGAGAAAGACAAACACTGCATGACTTCACTCATATGTGGAAGGTAAACAAACACATGGACAAAGAGAACAGATTAGTGGTACCAGAGGGGAAGGGGGTTGGAGAGTGGGCAAAAGGGGTAAAGGGGCACATATGTATAGTGACAGATAAAAATTAGACTATTGGTGGTGAGCACGATGCAGTCTATACAGACACTAATTAATAATGTACACCTGAAATTACACAATGTTATAAATCATTATGATCTCAATGAAGTAAAATAAATATTCCTTGAAATTAATTAAGGAAATATTCAAATTGTTTCTTGGCATCACTCACAGAATAGAATTCTCTAAATTAGATACCCAAAAACCACTTTCTCAAATGTTTGTCCATTTTGGGTTTTCTTGTATTTGATCAGTAAAATGAGTTCTGATCCTACTGTAGCTACTAAACAATTTCTACTCTGACTCCTAAACCAGTGAAGAAAGCATCAGTGCAGTGACCATAAGTATCATTGACTTCTCTTGTCATTTGACAGTTTATTTTACTATGCCTTCACTGGATTCATTATTAGCATCTGTGCTGATAGCCTTGAACAAACATTAATAAATTCTGTAGCCATTTATCCAAACATTTGTGAGTTTATATGCAAGGCAGATGAGAAAACTGAGGATCAAATAAGTCCTTTTCTATTGTAGATCCTCACATTTGATTATGAAACCGCTTTTTTCCTAAGCAAAAAGATGCGATGAATTCATAATTCTAAACTAGTGCTGTTGAAACTGGAAGTGAAAGGAAAATGTATTCATAAAAATAGCTGTATAAGACTTAAGCAACAAGAGGCATCATAACGCAAAACAACACCCATTTCTTCCAGTTAAGTTTTCTTAAATGAGATGGGTCTGCTTCATTTCTCACCTCTATCTTCCCCTATAGTTTGGTGATTAACGATTAAAATGTGTATCCTTTTCATAATAATTGCATTAACATGCCCCCCACCACCACCTAACTACTGGTAAAAACAGAAGAAAAATTATTGTAAAATTGAAATACAAAGAAAGCCTAACTCAAAACATTTTTTTTGTTTATTTTGGGTAAGGAGAGGGAAAATTTGAGCATCACTGCCCTAAATAAGTTACGTAAGAACTGTATGTAAAACTAAGTTTGTTACATCTTTATATCCTATGAGGTTATAAGCATCTTGAGCAACTGGTCAAATTGAGCTCCTTTCCAACAGGTAAGGAGACCAGGTCTGAGAATATTCTGGAGTCCTCTACAGAGGGGAGGGCAGTGATTGGCAACTCCCATCTCTTTACAAACAAGAAGCCATGTTCTCTGGAGGTTTCCCTGGAAAGGCCAAGAAGTGAGTAACGTTCAGATGCAGGGTTGCAAAGGTGTCCAGGGGATTCTAATATGAATATCTGTGTGTGTGGGCACGTTAAAGAGACTCCGCAGAGGCGAATGTTCAAAACACTAGAAAACACCCACTAGAATTATTAATGCCTCTTCAGGGTTATGATTGTATTTTCCTGATTAATGTGGTAAATTAAACTGTTCTTAAGTGAACAGAATAAAAGATAGGTTGGTGTCTACACAAGAGTATTATAGATGACGAGAGAAGGGGTTTCGTGATCCACAGTGCCAATGAGTGGATTTCCCAAGCAGAATCAGTCTGTGTCACAAGAAAAGGAAAGAATGAGTTGGAAACCCTCACAGCATCTCCACAGCTCCCGGTCATTTGTAACTTTATTCTATTTCCAATCTTCCTTGATGAACAAGGGGCCTGATTTCTTGCTTTTCATTAGCTCGGTTTTCAATGTTGTCTGAGAGAGACGGGTTTGCCAGCAAAAGCTCCATAGCCATGAGTTACAGTGAATTCAGCGGGGTGACCACAGCCTGGCGGAGATGGACTTGACTGTGAGCGGCTTGGAACGCTGTACCCCTGGCCTCAGCGCTCGGGACTTCTCTCTGCAGAGTGTGTGTGTCAATCTGCACAATGTCTCTTTTAGTATATAAACTTCCAAAGAACACGCAAAATTTATATTTTACTCATTCTATATAAAGGTTCTAGAACAGGGCTGTGAAAAACCAGCTGCTCTGTTTTTGGAGACGTTCCCTATAGCTTATTAATTATTAGTGAGTAAAATTTAATAGTGGTAATTTTTTGAGAAATTAAAATACTAGTAAATAATAGTTGACATTTTTTTCCAACTGTGAACTCATGTAACAGTTAATTCCCGAGTACCCACTATGTACCAGGCACTCTTCTAGGGCCTGAGGTTACAGCAAGTGTTAAGGGCAGAATTATGTCTCCCCGCTAAATTCAGATGTTGAAGCTTGACCCCTAATGTGATGGCATTGGGAGGTGGGGCCTTTGGAAAGTAATTAGGATTAGATGAGGTCATGAGGGGGACCCTCATGATGAGATTAGTGCCCTTATAAGAAGAGGCACATGCACAAAAAAGTCATATGAAGACATAACGGGATGGCAGCCACCTACAAGCCAAGAAAAGAGGCCTCAGAATGAAACTTACTTGCCAGCACCTTGATCTCAGGCTTCCAGCCTCCAGAAAAATGAGAAATAAATTTATGTCATTTCAGCCACTCAGTCTACAGTATTTTGTTATGGCAGCCCGAGCAGACTACGACAGCAAGAAACAAAACTGACAAATAACATAGAAGTAAAATCTACAGTGTGTCAGGTGGTTATAAGCACAGGGGACAGAAATAAAGGTGGGAAGGACAATGGGTGGGGGTTATAATTTCTTAAAGGAAGACTTCACTGAGAGGGTGACCTTTAATTAATGACCTGAAGGAGGTGAAGAGCCAGCTGTGCAGCATGGGGACAGAGCAGGCCAGGGGGAGAGCAAGTGCCAAGACTCTGAAGCACGAGTGCGCCTAGCAGGGGAGAGCCAGGAGGCGGGTGTCCCTGGAGTAGGTGGGGACAGGAGAGGAGGAACAGATGGGGTGAGAGGTAACGAGTGGGTGGTGTGGACCCATAGCACCTTGAGGTCGTGGTGAGGGCATGGCCTTTATTCAGAGTGATCACAGAGGGTTCTGAGCAGAGGCGTGACCTGAGCTGTCTTATGTTTTATGAGGAGCACTCTGTCTGCTGAGTTGAAAATAACTAGAAAGAGCCCGGCTGGAAGCAGGGAGACAGGAGCTACTGCAGTGGCCGAGGTAGGAGATGACAGTGCAGAGTGGCGGTGGTGGAATTAGTGAAACGTGGCATATGTGTTTTGAAGGAAGAGCCAATAGTATTTGCTGAGAGCTTGGATGTGGGGTGTGAAAGAGAGGAGTTTTTAAAAACAACAAGGCTGGACTTGGAGCTAGAGAAAGGTTGGGCTGCCATTACCTGAATTGGGGAAGACTGTATGAGGAGCAGGGTGGGAGGGAGAAATTGGGATATTTTAAGTGCAAAATACCCCTTATGTATTCAAGTAGAAATACCAGACAGGCAATTGGATATACAAGTCTTGGGGTTCAGGGGAAACATTTCAGTCTGAGCTGGAGATAAAAATTTAGGAGTTCATTTAAAGCTCTGTAAAGTGCAAGGATGCTATTCAAAATATGTGACAACCAGTATGGTAATGGTACTAACCAATCAGAAGGTACTGGAGCACAGTTCTAAAGTGCCAGGTATTAACATTTTAGAAACTAGGTCATGGGTAGGTGTGGGGGTCCCAGAGAGAGGCTGGAGTCGGGGGGTGGGAGAGGGCATCAGAGTTTGAGAGCAGCTCTTTCCTAATGGGAATGGAAATACGTCAACATTTTATCAAGCAGTATAGCATACCAGTGCACAGCAGTTGGAAAACAGCCCTGAAGGAGTATAGAGAAGGAAAAGAACAAGAAGTTCAAGGATGCCCTGGGCAGCCCAGTATTTGGAGGTTGGGGATAAGAGGAGGACAGCAGAAGAGACTGAGGAGAAAGAGCCGGTGACACAGGAGAAACGCCAGGAAGGTGGTGTCCTAGAACAGTGACTCTCGGGTCCAGTTTGCCTGAGATGGTCCAAGCTGGTATCTGCGTCAGTGTATTGAGAACTAGTGCCCATCTTTCACTCTCAAAAATGTCTTTATTCTGATGAAAACTTATGTGGTCTCCTTACAAAGAAGCCAAGTGAAAAAAGTAGTTTAAGTGGAAGGAATGACCAACTATTTAAAATGCTGCTGCTAAGTGAAGTAAGAGGAGGACTGAGAACTGGCCACTGGATTCAGTCTCACGGAGGCCACCTTGTCAGGAAAGCAACTTTGGTGGCGCAGGAGGCATGACAACCATAAGTCAGAGGAGAATGGGAAGAGAGCAACTGATGGCACTGAACAGAGACAAATCTCTTCAGAAGTTTTGCTCTTAAAAAAAAAGGCTGAAAATTGATGAGGAGTGGGTGGTTGGAAGGGAAGGGGAGTCGAGACAGGGTTCAGGTAATGCGGTGGACTGAATGCACGTGTCCCCCCAAATCTGTATGTCAAAGCCTAAGCCCCAGTGTGATGGTGGGCCTCTGGGACGTGATTAGGTCCGACGGTGGAGCCCTCGTGAATGGGATTAGCGCCTTATAAAGGAGACCCCAGAGAGCAAGAGCTGCATTGTATGAGTGACTATATTAACATTATGTATTAAAATATCTTCTTTAACCTAAAAGTTCCTATTTTTCTTCGGATTTTAAGCATTTTCCTGGGCCCCTCAAAGTAAGGTGGGCCCTAGGCACGGTGCCTGCTGTGCCTGTAGAGCCGTGGCCCTGGATCTCATTAAGGAGGAGAAAGGGGTAGGTTTGTGCACAACGCAGGGTTGGCCTGAGACAGAAGCCCTCGTTGTTCATCCACAGGAAGAAGAACGAAGGCCAAGAACAGGGGCGCAGGTACGGGGTAGACGTCATACTGGGAGTTTGTGCAGGGTGGGTATTTTGGGGTTTTTTCCCTGCTTGTTTCTTTTTCTCAACTAAATCATAAGCACAGTCATAAACTAAGAGTGGGGATGGTGGAGGAGGTAAAGAGGTTTGAAGAGAGGAAAACAGATGGAACAGCCGCCAGGGGTGTGGGAGAGTGGCTGGACTGGGGAAAATGCAGTAGGATTCCGGGGCAGCACTGAAAGCCCCCCTAAGGTTAGGTGAGGAATGTAAAAGGAGACCAGGCAGCATGAGTTGCGTGGCTTTTCTCTAGCCACGTTCAGCTGCCCAGTGGCATGGCAGAGCAGGAGGAGAGTTGGAATCAAGCAGGGATGGAGTTTACCAAGGGAGCACAACGAAGCGAGAAGCAGCAGGGCAGTTAACATGTATGCAAAAGTGTGCTTGTAATAACGGACACGGAATTCAAGCTGGGTAAGGACGGAAGAGGGGATATGAGGGGACTGAGGACATCGAAGATGGGGCTTGAGCGTAGATCCTGGTGGGTCCAAAGAGCTGGAGTTAAACTGTAGAGGAAGTGAATTGGAGTGGTGGCCGATGATGGGGTGAGAATCAGATGTTTGAAATAGAGATGATGGAGGGATGTGCAGTTCTTAATGAGGAGATCTACAGGTAACACTCGATATTTGTTATGCAGACTGCAAATAATACTCCATAATCCCATAGACTTTCCAAATGTAACCACTGTTAAAAATTTGATCAAATGTGTATCACACATACATATATACATACAAAACACACAGTGCTTCAGTTTTGGTTTAATTATTTTCTTACATAAATGGGATCATGCTACATTATCCCATTCCTTATTTTTTCACTTAACAATATATTCTGGAATTTTCATGACCGTTTACATAGATCTACCTCATTTCTTAATGGCTTTTTTTTTTTTTTAGTTATATGAACTTCCAATTGAACGATCTACTGGAATATTCTAAACCTGTTTCATGTTTATCATGGCAGGTGGAATGGGAAACTAACGAAGCTCAGGTCTGGGTTCTTCGCTTTCTCAGACCCTTTCCACGACCCTGGGCGGGGGTTAGCAGAATATTCATATGGCCGTAGGTTTTTGGAAAATTTACAAGAGTAAGATATTTCAAACATGATTGGTTAAGACCAAGTCTCTTTCCACATTTCCTCCATGGCACGTTCCCTGTTTTGGACGGTGTTGTAGAGACTGTGAGCATTCAAATAAATACTCACTTCCAACTGAATTCACTTCTGAGTAGATATGCATTTTCATACCTAATTTTGAATTCTTTTTCTTAAAGAGGGCCTTTACGACTGAATAAGCTTTAGACCCTACGAAGCCTGGATCTGCCTCTACAGGTTTAGCAATTCTCCTTAACAGCCTATTTCCTCAGTGATGTCTAGACCCCTGGCTATTCCTGCTGACCCCAACATGTGTTGCTGAATCACATAGCGAGAGTTCTCCCCCCTCCCTTGCCTCTTCCTTCCCCTTCTGTGAAAGCCAGCAGTGAGGTGGCCAGAGGACTTTCACTTTCCTGGATCCAGTTATTGCCCCTCAAACTGATTTTAGGTAATTATGAAAACACGCAAATAACTCTGATTGTCTCCAGTGCTCTAATTTGGAGTGTTTATTTCTGTCATTGTTGCCTTAATCTCTGCATCAAAGCAGATAATCATTAACTGAGAATTTTAGATATACAAGATAATTTAGAGATTATCTAATCCTCTCCTCTCTCCTTTTAGAGCTTTGAGAGCTGAGATGCAGAGTAGAAGGCCCTATGACTGTTTATGATTCTACAGAGAAGGCTAATCATTTCTTAAGTAAGGCCGGGGCCTGTGTTAAGTGGGAGGTGAGAAAATGGAGTGAGGCAGGTCCCGGCTCAGAGACGGAACACTGCTCACCACCCGCTTGTAAAATTCAAGCACGGCTCCCCGGCTAACAGACACTAATGACTATAATAAATTAAGGAGGGTTTAGTTAGGCAATAAACAATTACAGCTGAAAACAGGGTGTAAACTTGATACCTTAATTAGTGTATTGACCAATAGCTCTTTCTGGGTTAAGAACCCTAGCCTTAATTCAGCCATAATATCTGTGTTCTTTTTTTTTTTTTTTAATGTACTAGGACTAAACCACGTTCAATATTCAAATAATAATTTCACAGAGTAAGGTATTAGAAAAACACAGAGACTCAAAATAAACCCAAGTTTGGCCACACTTTCCTCTATGAGTGATGATACTTTGACTTACCTCACAGTATTATGAAGATTAACAAGATTATGCCTATAAGTATTCTAAGCTCTTTGGATTTAAAAGCTGCAGTTGGCTGGCAGTGACATTTCCTTTATGTCTGGCCTGTGTGGTTCATGTGGTAATGAGATATGACTGTAAAGTAGGGAGACTAACTTTGGACAAGCATACCCCCTTAAGACTCATGCATCCAAACCTTTGTCCTGCCATGTGGTCACGATGGGAGACTGGGTACTTATTTTGAGGAGGCTGCCATTGCTTAACACATTTTCTGAACTGCTCTTTAGGAACTGCTTCGGAGGGAGCTTATGAGACATGGGAGAAAAGCAGCCTACTTATGGTTTACAGAAACTGTAGAAATACATAAAAGTCTTTAAAAACAACAACAACTCATTTGGCAGGTAACTCAGTACCCTGCAGAGACAAAGTTCTCTGTCTAGCAAAGAGGCAATTGCATAAGAAGGCATATGTCAGGTTGAAACTCCTATAGAGTTGTTATAAGGCTATCAAAAGCATTTTTAAGCACATCTATGCATGTGACATTCTCCTGGAAGATAGGAAGAGGAATTTTTTGAATATGAAAAGTAAGACATCTAGCGAGCAGTGATTTGACAGGTCATATGCTGGCCAATGATTTTAACAAGAGTGAACATCTGTGTAGTACCTTATAATTATTTAAGCATTTCTATTGTACATTGGTTCATCTTATCTTCACAACCCTAAGATATTGCAAAGACAGACAGTATTATCATCTTCATTTTACTTATGTAAAAATTCAAGCTTAAAAAGTTGAGACAAGACCGAGTTGACACAATTAATAAATGAAGCGAACCTCAGACCCACCTCTTCTAACTTTTCACCCTGACTTTCAACATTATAACTAAGGTTTTCTAAAGTATGGTATGAAAAATTCTGGACCCCCCAATATGGTAAGTATAGTGATTTTATAATATACCAATAAATTCTTTGACATTACTCCTTTCAAAATTTGGAGCCTAAGAAAAAGGGTGGAATCTAATTCACCTTCTCTTGAGTGTGGGGTGGGTTTAGTGACTCATTAGTAGGTGTGATGGTGTGTAACTTCTGAGACTAGGTCATAAAAGACATTACAGCTTTCTCCTCGCTCTCTTGTAGATTGTTCACTCTAGGGGAAGCCGGCTGCCATGCCATGAGTGTATTCAACCAGCCCTGTGGAGAGGTCCCCATGGTGAGGAACTGAGGCCTCCTGCCAACAGCCATGTGAGTGCGCCATCTTGAAAGCAGATCTTTCAGGCCCAGTCCAGCCTTCATATGACTACAGCCTCAGCCAACATCTTTGCTAAAACCTGAGGAGAGACTCTGACCCAGAATCACATTGCTAAGCCACTTCCTGATTCTCTGAAGCTATATAAGATAATAAAGCTTTTTGCTTTAAGTCTGTAAGTTTTGGGTAATTTGTTATTCAGTAATAGATAACTAATACAGTCCTTAAAGTATTCTATGATCAATTAAACTTGGGAAATCCTCTTAAAGATTCATAATGTCCAGTAGAGTATAAAGGTTCTTGAAAAGTCCTGCAGCAAAGCAGCCTGTTTTTACTTTTTTATAAAGCAATTTCAAGTCCCCTTTAACAAAACATCCTTTGCAGCCCAAAGAACTAGTTTGGGACACTTTGAACTATAGCAGTCTGGGTCACTAGCCATTTCAGTTAACTGTAAACTTCCAAGTGAGCATTTAGACCAAATATCAAAAACTACACTACAAATCTAGCACACGTTTGGGCCTCTATTGGACATCCTCCAAAGCAAGGGCTTGGATTCTTTACAAACGTCAATGTCATAAAAGACAAAAACGTTTGGGGCAGATTAAAGGAAACTAAGAAGACATGTCAACTACGTGCAATCCTTGATTCTTCCTTAAATTTTAGACCAGAAAAAAAAATAGTCATAAAGGACATTATTGAGACACTTTGAGGAATTTAAGTTTGGATGGTAGGTTAGAGAATAGTATTGTATTAATGTTAAATTGTCCAATTATAAGAATCATACTGTGGTTATGTAGGAAAATGTCCTTTTTCTTAGGTGATAACATGCTGAAATCTGTAGGGCTAAAGTGTCAAAATACCTGTAACTCTCAAATAATTCAGAAAAAATGTGGTGTGTGTATTTGTTTGTGTGTATGTGAGAGGGATAGAGGGCGAATGTGAAGAGAAGAATCTCAAGGCCTCTGGAAGCACAACTACACATGAAGGTGTGGCGCAGGAGATGAAGGCCCACGCCTTGATGGCTGACTTTCAAGGTCTCTGCTCAGAGGCAGCCCTGAAAAACTGATGCAGGAAGTGAAATGCCTGTTCTGGGCTCTTCCCATTACTGAATCCTCCTCACCCTTCCGGTTATAGCATAAATCTCTCTTCCCGACCATCCTATCTGAAAAGGTATGCTCCATCACAAAGCACTCTGTAAATCTCATAACACTTTCTCGGTCTTTAAATATCAAGTGTATTTATTCTACACGTCTTTATTGCTTCTCTTGTCCCACTGGATGGTATGTCCCCTGAGGACATGAATACTGCGTCTTCCATTTACTGCTCTCCTCCTATAACATGTACTCACTATATTTTTTTAGAGTGAATTAATGTCCTTTCCACTCTTCCTTTTCTACTGCATGGTAGTCCCAGGTGACTTCTCACATTCAAGAGGTGCCAAGTGCTTTTATGCTACACTCACACACACATACACACACACACCAGTGTCAATGCCCCATATCATATGATGATTACTTGTCTCCACAATCAGATTTTCCCTAGAAGTTAGCTGAGTGTCTGGCCTTAACAGACAGAGTGCTGGTTGAATAGCGTCCCCCAGAAATTCATGTCCACTCAGACCTCAGAATGCAACATTATTTGAAAATAAGGTATTTGCAGACATAATTAGTTAAGTTAAAATGAGGTCATACTGGATTAAGGTGTCCCCTAATCCGATGACTGGTGTCCTTATAAGAAGTGAAACAGAGGCACACAAACACACAGACACAGTGGGAAGAATGCCATGAGGAGGTGGGTGTCGTGATTGGAGCACTCCATCTACAGGACAAGGATCACCAAGGATTCCTGGCAACCACCAAAAGCTGGGAAGAGACGAGGAAGTGTTCTCCCCTAGAGCTTCCAGTGAGAGCGTGGCCCTGCTGACACCTGGATTTTAGACATCTAGCCTCCAGAACTGGGAGACAATAAATTTCTGTCATTCTAAGCCACCTGGTTTGTGGTAATTTGTTATGGCAGCCTAGGAAATGAAAACAGATGGTTTGTATAGATAGTTGTAAAACTTAACTAATGTGCTCAGATAGACCCTTCCCAGGTAAGCCTCCACTGTAGGCCTATAAACCCACTACAGTAACTGGCCCTGTGGGTCATCTCAGAGACTGACCACATGGAAAGAGTTTTGATAACAAATCCCCAGCCTACCAACTTGTTAAATAGGGGATGACAATTTACTTGTCATCCCTCTCAGAATATTTGCATTTTAATAGGGCACTTGGTCATTTCAATATTCTGGGATCCCTTTACTCAGGAGGGTTTCCTGAGTGCACACTCTGTCAGGTGGGGCTACAGGTCAGCCAGAGAACCAGCCTGGGACATGGAACCAGCTTTCCCTGAGTGCTTGACATCACACCCTAGAGCTCTCCACCTGCTCATGCAATGAGCTCGAGGAACCTACTGGATAGTCTACCTGCGGAATACAACAACACGTATATCTTCTATGGAAGAAGAGCATACTCTATCTGGAAAAGTTATTCTCAGTGTGAGCACAGTTTGGGGAGATATAAACAAAAAGTGAAGAGGAGGAAAATTCACCAGCCATATAACCAGTCAAGCAAGGTTCCGCTAATCAACATTGGAGAACCTCACAGCACATCGTCTCTCGGCTTTGCTCCCAGCTCTCTGGCCTCTTGTCCTCCCCCTCCTTTAAATGCCCATCTCCTTCTGTCCATCCTGCAAATTGTTAATGTTTTTTACCTTTTTGTCCTGGGTCCTCTTTTTTTGTCATCCGACATACTTTCCTTTGAGTTTTGCATCTGTTTCCATTGGTCTCCGTTACCATGCAATATATGGAGACGTCGCCCCAATCTTTAACTCTAAACCAGGACTTCCTCCTACGCCACACACCATTAAATTCAACTGCTTACTAGATGACCCCCCTTGGACATTCCACAAATATCTCAAGTTCAGCGTCTCCAAAACCCAACCAATTGCTTTCACCACCAAATCTGCTTTTCTATCACTATCTAGCATGTTGCTTAAGTGAGAAACCTCAGTGTAACGAGCTCAATAATGCTCAGACTGTACTGCTTTTATTTGTCCTAAATTTAGTTCTTTCGAGCTTCAAGGGCAACCAAACTTCTAGTTCTCTCTGATTTTGTGAATACATTTTTGCCTACCCTTTCGTTGATCCATCATTTCTCCTTTCAGACTATAATCTTAATTTCCAAAGCCCAGCTCCATTTTTTTCAGGGCTTTAATAATTACCTTGGTCTTCTCCAACTCTTTTGTAAAAGTCTCGGAATAATCTAAATTTCTAACAATAGAGTCTGGTTACTGAAATTGTGACACATCAATATGATGAAGTATTAAAAATCATGTTCTAGATGAATATTTAATAACCTAAGAAATGCTTATGATTTCATATTATAAAAAGCAGGTTTTAAAATTATACAGAGCATGGTGATAAATTTGTTCCCCAAAAAAGGCATGAGCATAATAGTCAGGTAAATATTGCAGACCAAACATTTACCTTTATTCCATTTAGAAATCACACTAAAATGAGAATTCCGTGAGGGAAATAAAGAGGATGTTAAGAGAGTAACTGCAGGTGGCAACCTAAGAAATGAGGTCAGGGGAGACCTCTCTGCGACAGCAATATGAGATCTGTCACCGAAAGGTTGAGATGGAGCCACCTGTGTGAAGAACTGGAGAGAGGCATGCCAGGACTAGGCAACAGGTACAAATGCCCAGAGCTGGGCAAAGGCATTTCATTTTTGAGAAATAAAAACTAGGAGAAGTCTTTGATGAATTTTAAGTTGGGAAGTGACAACGTTCTGATTTAGGCTTTCATCTCTTGCTATGGCAAGGAAATCTATTGGAGCATGGCAAGAATGGCAGCAAGTGAGCGGTGAGGAAGCCATTCCTGTTGTCCAAGTGAGAGATGATGTGTTTGCACTAGAGGGTGGCTATGGGGATGGAGCAATTCAAGATATATTTTGGCAGCATAGTTTGATGATATCTTGAGATAGTTGATGTTATATGTAGATATATTTTAGTGGTATATCCTATTTGGTTGGTAGGACTTAGATTTGGGTGTTGAAGTAAAAGAAATGAAGCAAGCCTTTAACTTATGCAATGTGGTGAAGGCTGCGTCATTTACTGGGAAGATATTTGTATATTTAGGATGTCTATTATGATTGAGCATAAATGAGGCGCCTGTTGGTGGGGGCGAAGAAGTACTTAAAAATTACATCACTCACTCTTATGTCTAGATGTATAGACTACAAATTATCTGCAAAAAATATTCTAGTTCAGAGAAGAGTTATTTGAAAGGAAATTCTTAGTTATGTAAACAACTAAGTATCGATGGTTTTAAAAGCAGGGCGTAATAATAACTTTTAAAAAAGTGTTTCAACATAATCTGCCTCATGACTTCATAAAGAGAACTCGACCTTGGAAGTTGATAGATCAGCTTGCAAAAGGAGCCCAGGCCTTCTGCAGCAACAGGCCCAAATCACTAACCTCTGCTCCTTGAGACTCAAAGTTAAATAGACTTGGAAGGGAAGACAGGGTGGTCTCGCCCAAGGCTCAGGAGCTGAAACTGCCAAGGAGGCCCCTGAAATATGCTTGAGGAAAGGGCAAGTGGAGGGCGGTATCCCAGCCTACACTTGTTGAGTGGTCTCTACAGTGTGTGACTAAGGCTAGCCATGATGACATAGTGACTCATAGAAGGTTTTGTTGTGGTGAACAATGGCAGAATGTCTGCATGCCACTAAGAGACCTAGAAGTTCAAAGTCCAAGTTCGGAGCCCCAGTGTGAGGCTGACAGGCATCCAGACCAGCAAGGGCATCACACAGAGTAAATAGGCATCTGTTGGACTTTGGGCAGTCTTCACAGTGACACCAGGCGCCAGCCAGAAGTGATGAAAATCCTGAGTGGATCAGTCATTCCAGACCTCTTCATCCCAACCCATTCTCTGCACTGAGTAAGTTTACCCCTGGTACTCTTGAAAACTTGGCCAGCAGAAAGGAGAGGGAAGTTGGCTAGTTGGGTAGAGAAGGCTTCAAAAGGGTTAGATTCACTCTCAATAACAATAGGTTCTCTGGATATACTTGTGTCAAACTGGTTCCAAACCTACATAGATCATACAGCAGCCTCTTTTCACCTGGGTACATACACCTCGGAGCCAGCATTTCTAAGAGTCATTGTAAAATCCTTATAACATCAGTGCTCATATTCCACCAGGTAGAGGTCTTTGGTTTCTAGGATTTTAGTTGTACCTCAGTGACAAGTCTTTAATTCACTTTAAAAATGTTAATAATCTTTATATTATTAGCAAAATCTCCTTCTTATAAATTTCCAAGTGTCTAACCTTTTTCATAAGAAAAATAAGCCTTTTATTTTCTCAAGAGAGAGGGAAAAATTGACTTTGCCATAATACATGGCATGACTCATGGAAAGGGCTTGAATAATTTGTAGACATGTTGTTATTGAGTCATCATGGATGATACAAGACCACTTGAATGCTGATGAAGTGAAACTCCTTACAATCTGTAAGAAATACAAATACTACTTTTATATTTCAAAAAGCTCAGTTTCAGTTTTATCCTCGAGGAGACGCTGGGGCTAGATAGCAACAATTCTCATTCATAGATAAGACAGCTTCTTCCCTAAGAAGCCAAGCATGGTCTTCATCAAAGAGAAAGAATCAGAGCTATAACATGGGGTTTAATACAAGTGTTATCTCTCCTTGTCCGGTAGATTCCTTTTCTTTATAACCACAAGTAATATATTATATTAAAAATCAAACTGGCCCAAATGTGACTAAAATACTTAAAGATCCTGTGATCCTAAAGGTTCTAAGCAACACGACTGATGGGGTTTGATGGGTACATTGGAATGCTGGTGATTTACTATATAATTTAAGTACCCATCTGTGCAGCTGGGCAAAGACATAGCTGATGAAAATATTAGCTGGCCAGCTGTTTTCTCTGCTCAACAGAGGTCATGAGGATTGCTTCTCTGGCTGCCATCACCACTCCAACAACCTCATCTTTGTCAGAAGGACTCTTCATTTCCATACTCTCCCGAAAAAGCAAGGGCAGCAGCACTGGTCCTTAATCCCGAAGAAGATCTCCGCTATTTTCTAGGCTAGTTGCAGCTTAATGAGCCTTGATATTGGCTAAAGGAGTCATTCCCTCAAGCTCTATGTCACTTTTTCTCACTTCCCAGGTAGCCAGCGTGGGACTTGGAGGGGCTATGGTCTGGCCTAGTCTCCTGGGTTGAATTTCTGGCTCTTTACATTTGCCTTTCAACTCTTAAAAGAAGAAATTAATTATGCAAAAACAGGCTATGCAACATTATCTTCCAGGCACCTTCCAGGCACTGCCTAGCTGATTTGTCCATTCTCCATGGCTCTGGGACCATTGACAAGTTAGGTGACTGCAAGAGGTGAAACAGCCAACGTAGAGATAATTTCCAATGGGTCCTGCTTTGTTTTAACATGATTTGCTTGAGTCATCTGGGCCTTAGCCGCCCTTCTTATTATCCTTTCCATTGAGATAGTTACTCACTAAGTGACAAGTGTTATAGTAGGTATTCAGTAAACAGGACGAACAAAAGAAAAGGTAAAGAAGATAGCCAGTTGTTGTTGACTGGTAGGTAGGACCAGAAGAAAGGATTTGCAAATATATACAGGGTTTATTTACTATGGTATAGACCCAGTGTGTATTCAAACTTCTTACCACATTTATTGCCTTTAACATTGAGGACCTATGATCAGGCAGGCATTGAATTCATAGCTATTGACCCTTCCATATGCCTTTCAGAGCCGTAAGTAGCAACTTTGACCCAAGTGCAAAGAAAACAACAGGACCCTCAAATCAGTAGTGTGGGGAAGAAAAGAGCTGGGGGGAGGTGTCCTGATGGCACTAATGGGCTTCCCAGTCTTGATCTTTGGTCTCCTATTCCATCATCTCAGCCAAGGAGGCTGGCCTAGGGCCCAAGGCTAATTTGCCACCTTGACTAGAGATTCAGGGGAAACAAATAGGAAGTGGCTTAAAAATTTGCACAACCTTTAAAAAGTATGATTTAAAAACATAGGGGCCCTTTCAATGCCAGTGCCTAGGGAAAAGGCCTGGTTATCCCACTCTTGTTCTGGGTTCTGACTTTTTCTTATGCTAAGGACAGATAACATGAGATCTACCTTTTTAACACATTTTTAAGTGTACAATACAGTACTGTTAACCATAGGCACAACATTGTACAGCAGCTCTCTAGAACTTATTCACCTTGCATGACTGAAACTTTATACCCATCGATCAGCAACTCTCCATTTCCCCCTCCCCTTCACCCCTAGCAACCACCATTCTACTCTCTGTTTCCATGCGTTTGACCATTTGAGATACCTCATAGAAGTGGAATCACAAAGTATCTGTCCTTCCGTGACTGGCTTATTTCACTTAGCGTAATGTCTAGGCTCACCCATGTTGTCACACATGGTAGGTAGAGTCTGACTTTTTACTATAAAACTGTGAATACCTTAAGGACAGCCCATACATGCTATGCATATTGTAAGCATATGCATAAAGGGCTTCCTCAACATTGAATTAATTCCCAGTAACCATAGGAATTGTTAATGATAAAGGTTCCTCTTTGTACCTCATTCAGAACAGACATGTACTCCTGTTATGGGTAGACTTTAATAAAGCCAAGCAACAGAAGTCAGCTGGGTTTTATTTGGAGCATTTTACTCTCAGTTTCTCTGAGTCTCTGTTAACTGCTTATTTGTGGGGGAATGATACAGTTCTAGAGGCTTCTCTCTAAATTTCTCCCTGGCCTGTCACAATAATAATGAGTAATATTTGAATGGTGCTTTACAATTTGCAAAGGATTTTAACATTCATTTTCTCATCCCACCTTCAGACATAAAGTAGCTAACATCCCCTTTCACAGATGACGAGACAAAGGCTCAGAAAAGGAGTGATTTATGCAAGGCCACCCTACAAATCCCAGCCTCTTTCAACTATATCCTGAAGCCTTTTATGTTCTTTCATTTTAACTTCAGGTATGCCTATTCCTTGAAAAGTAAACTCTTATGTGGGAAATTATGTCAAAAATTTTACAAGTAATATCAATATAATTAATTAAAATTAAGTTTGTAACTGCTTATCCTTTCTTGCCTACAGAGTCTTATGCACTGAATCATCATTCAAAGCAAAATTATTAGCACGATCATAAAACAAACATGGAACCCTAAGTAGATATCTCTCTCCTTGTTTGTTTTCAATGTGCTAAAATTTACATACAGTCTTGACATATAAGATGTGTCAACAATGTAGCAAGATAGCTTTGTGGGCTGAATTGTGTCCCCTCAGAATGTGATTACTTTTGGAGATAGGATCTTTAAAGAGGTAATTAAGTTAAAGTGAGGTCATTAGAGTGAGTCCTAATCCTATATGACTGGTGTCCTTATACGAGGAGGAAATTTGGACACTGACACACACACAGAGGGAAGACCTTGTGAAGACACAGGGAGAAGATGGCCATCTACAAGCCAAAGAGAGAGGCCTCAGAAGAAACCAACCCTGCAAACACCTTGATCTCAGACTTCCAGCCTCCAGAACTGTGGGAAAACAAATCCCTGCTGTTTAAGCCACCCAGTCTATGATACTTTGTTATGGCCCTAGCAAACTAATACAATAGCTAAGATTTAGTTGCTTGTACAGCTTAACAATATAACTGACTTTTAGTATAACACACAGGTATTGAAATGCCATTGCCCTCAATTTTTAGAAATATGTAAATATATATGTCAGTCATATGTATATGTTTATCATGTTTTAAATAGAGGCATTACTCATCAGGCAATGATAACCAATGCATAAATAATCACATGCAAGTTAAAGTGACACACACAGGGGCCAACCTCATGGTCAAGTGGTTAAGTTTGCACGCTCCACTTTGGTGGCCCAGGGTTTCACCCATTCAGATCCTGGGTGCAGACCTAGCACTGCTCATCAAGCCATGCTGAGATGGCATCCTATATAGCTTGACTAGAAGGACCTACAGCTGGAATATACAACTATGTACTGGGGGGATTTGGGGAGAAGGAAAAAAGAGGAAGATTGGCAACAGATGTTAGCTCAGGGCTAATCTTTAAAAAAAAAAAAGACACACAATGATAATGTTATACACTGGACAGGCATTCAGATTTCTAGGAGATCAATTCTAAATGATATGCAAGAGAAGTTTTCACTAAAGTGGTTGAATTATGCTGAGTATTAAGAATAGATAAGGTTTTCACGTAAGTAGCTAAGAAACAGGTTAAGGAAGAGGCAATGAAAGTGAAAAATCATGGAGGACACCAAACAGGCCACTTTGGCTGGAGCAGAAGCAGTGAGGAAACTAAGTCAGTTTAGTTTCTGGGAAGAAAGAACTGAAAAAGCGTGAGAGAGAATCCCATGGTGAGGAGACGGTGTGAGGATGAACTCAGCATATCCACTAGCCTCAACACAGAAGCCAGTCTATGACCCTGTCTATAAGAACAATCCTCTGGTGACCATCCCGTCACCATCCTGGGGCTGCCGTTCCACTTTTTGAATCCTTTTCCAGAAATACCCAGGGAAACAGATGCTTTGATCTATGGCACTGGCTCCAAGAATCAAGTCAGGGCTTTCTTCATTGTCCCCATCCTGGATGTAGTCAACAGTACCTATAGGGCAGTGTTCTCAATGTTGTCTGCACATTATAATCGCCCATACAACTTTTAAAAAATTCTGATGCCAAGGCTATAGTCTAGACCAATTAGCTCACCAGTGGTGGGAGGCAGGCATCAATATTGTTCTAAAGTTCCCCAGGTGATTCCAACGTGCAGCCAAGTTGAAGACCCACTACTGTAGGCAGTAGGGCCTGGGTATCTGTGCTTTTAGTAGGCTTCCCAAACAATTCCTCCTTGCCAACCCATGAAAAGCACTTGATCCTCAG